CCCTCCAGAAAAGAGCCATTGGAGAAGCAAACATCACTTGCAACCTAGATAGCTTAGAACATCGGAGAAAGTTTGGAGATTGGTCTCTTTTCTATAGATACTTCCACGGAAAGTGTTCAAGTGACTTGGCACATTTGATTCCACCAAGAGCGGTATATATCAGAAATACGCGACGGACTGTGGCTGCCCATGGTTTTGAGGTTCAACTCAGTTCACCTCGAACTTCATTGTTCAGTAGTTATTTCCTTCCCTGCGTTTATGTGGAATCCAAACGGATTTAATCTCCAGCGATTCAAATCCAAAGTGAATCACTACTTTCACACAGATACCGCTCTTAGAGCACCTTAAAGAGTTTTCTGTAGTGCTTGTATTTGCCCTTGAAATAAGCACCTGCTCGTCGACGAAACGCAAGATCTGTCTTAAACATCGCCACTGTCTGTGAAAGTATGAAAGAGACTCCAGTCACTCACAAGAACTAGGTCTTCCGCATTCCACAATTTGGCAAATGTTGCGTCGTGACTTGAGCCTGCACCCGTACAAAATTCAACTGACCCAGGAAGTAAAGTTGGCAATTTATTAGGGTCAGTTGCCAACTGCTCCAAGACACCATCCTGACAGTCCACGATGAACCTCTCAGTTTCTAACTTCAACCCCCTCGACCTGAAGAAAGCAAATGTCAGGTGCTTCAACGTGGTTGAAGAAAACCCCATGCACCGACTCATCCTTGTGTTATTATTATTATTATTTTTAACTAAGTTTCCGCTGGTCAGGTCCTATCCCGAAGCCCCGATACGTTCAGGAGGGCGCACCAACATTATCAACCAACGACCTATCCCTACACGGTGGGGTATGCCAAGAATGATAGCCTTCTGCATCTTTCCGGCTAAGATTTCTGCCTTAGTGCGGATTGGCTGTCCTTGTTCATCTTTCACTGCCTAAACCACTGTGCATGCTGTTTTTGGCTTGGGATGTGGGGGTTGAGCAAATCGGCCATCAGATGCCTGCTTCCACGTAGCCCCGCTGGATACGGGAATGACAGAATCACTTGTGGTTCTGTTATTTCCTAACTGAATGGCATTCCCAACGATAGCTTAATCCTAAGGTGTGTGTATCCGTGCCGAGAGGATGAATGACACTGAGCGTATCAACTGTCTCTACGGAACCTTCGAGATACCGGGCGCCTACTCTTCGTAGCATCGCCTTGTCACGGTAATGCGGAGCTCTGCCGTACATGACCTTCTTTCCCTAGCTACTCGTGGGACTTTTATGGACAGAGTAAACTTAAATTTTTTTTCTGGTGCTGAGTCTACAGAGGAGATGAATGTCGAGCTTACGACTCTAACTGACCTCCTTGTAAATTTAGATCAGGAGCGAGACCACCTTCTCAACTCTCCAACTCCTGATCCAATAACTGGTGGTGCAGCCAGGAAATGACTGAGTCATCTCCTCAAGAGCGGGGTACCTTATAAAACCGCCTTGCACCAAATTTTTGAGCGGTGTACGCAGAATGTGTCTCAGGTGGAGGAACAAACCCCCCATGAGCGGATAGCAAACGTTTGCGCTCAAGTGATGATTCACCAAAACCAGAGGAGAAAAAGCCCTATCTAAGGCACCGTCAGATGTAGCTGACGTGCAAAAACCATCATATGGAAAGGTTGTCGCGGGTATCAAGGCGGGAATCTTGCAACTTGACTATCCGACTACCTCCTTAACGATAAAACAGCAGAGCATATTCTTTGTACCTGCCCCGCTGGGGACCGAATCAGGTTTTTAGAGTTCTGTAGAGCCCTTCTCTTACTATCTGACCTGAAATATCACTTACCATACAAACTTATCGGCTTCGTTAAGAAGCTGTGTTTATTTATGCGAGTGTGAATAGGTGTGACCCACAATAAACCCTTGCGGGTTGCGGTTGAGGGTCGAATAGACCCACTCACTTGCGATCTAACCTAACCTAGTCCGGCAAGCCGGTATGATTTTGAGATTCGAGTATAAAATCTCGATTTTTTATCGGTTTTTCTTCCTTTTTTCGGACGATATTCGTCTCACCAGGAGCTGAAAACTCCACCACAAATATCGTCATCAGTGAGTGATTGCTTTTTTTTATAGGTTTCCGTTTCCGGATTGATCATTCCTCCCGTTTTCATGCTCTTTGCATCCTTTTTCAGTTTATAGCTTCCATACCTCTCAATCAACGAAATATTTGAAATGTAATAGTGGAATCCAATACTATCGTACTTGTCACAATTGTTAATACTATCGATGCCATTCTTGGTAGGTTTCTGGTAAAAGGAACTCTAGTGAACCCACTGTTTCCGGAAGAATACAAAAAAAACATCACTAATAATCAGAATTTGTATGAATACACACTATCTAAAAACAATTAATTAAATTACAATTACAATTCTTAAATTAATGAAGCACATGTTTCTAGATAAATTACAACAATTACCACAGGAATGTCAAGCTATAAAAACACAATCATACATCTGCTTCATAAGGAATAAAACTCAAATCGCAACCTTGAAAAATGTATAAGAATGCATTCAAATATTAACTCATAATTGAACTGATTTAAAAATAACGCTTCATTGTATGCTTATCTACAATTTTTAATTGCCGTTATAGTTTCCACGATAACAATATTTATTGAATGAGAAATTGCTCTTTATTGAGGATGTCATTGGTGATAACAACCACATTATAATTTGATTTCTTTTTACTTTGATGAAATAGCTTGCCGGAGACGCCAAAAGTCTAGACGAGTGTATATTTCATTTCTTCTCGGTCGAAGATCCATCAAATTTATTCGTCTTTCTTTTCGAAAATCAGCCTCATGGTGACGGAACACTTTTCATTTTTTCATGCAAAAATCCGGGAGTGTGAAATCACGAAAAAATCAAATTTAATGGTCTGGTGATAATCAATATGAACTTCTCAACGAATCCTAAAATTCTGCAGTTCAATAGTAATCAACGACATGAGGAGACAATAAGGATTATTGACCTGGAAGGAGCTTGATATTTTTTCAACTCAATCTAAGTTATTTCGTCGTCTAAGTAGCTCTGCTACTGTTGATGATTGCCATCCACCATGGCGTTTCAAAACCGTTATATTACCACCTGCATCAAGTAGAATTGGAGAACACTGACACTATCGAAAATACTACTCAGCAGTCCCTCTTCTGACGATGCTAACTTGATTAGTGAAACGCGAGTTGAGAGACAACAATTTTTTTCTAGAGAGAGAAAAATGTTTTCAGTAAATTCATTTTACTCCAGAGGTACCAAACTACTTATCACCGTTGTGGTAGTTTTACTTTTTGCATGTTTCATAAAAATTATCGGTTGAATAAGTAGTATTGTTGAGAGGAACTAACAGAAAGGAATGATGAAAGGTAATTAACTATTCTGCGAAACCTATTTCATTACAGAATTTAAATATTTTGGCAGTTATAAGGAGGATGGATCTTCAAGATCAAATATCTGTTTATCAATTGTTAAAGTAGTCATTGGTTAAACTTTCTCCCTTGCAGTTTTACTGTTTTCCCTCCCCTGCTACGATGGACATTTAATTATATTTGATAGATATTTTTGCAACTTCCCTCGCATAGAAACTTCTTGCGGATGCTTTTCATTCGATGGAGTCAGTCAAAGTCCGATCACACCGCTATTTTGGTGGATTTTCCATGCACTAGCGATGAGTAATACTTCAAAACTTGTGTGAACTGGTTCCAGCGAGTTCCCACTGTTGGACAAACCAAAATCATCTGCAGAAATTTCTTTTGTGAGAAAATTTACATATTCTTGTCTGTCTGATATAATTCAATATCCATCGTGAAATTAGCCTGGAAAGTAATTGTTTTCAGCAAGCATTCTCCAGATCCCACTGTTCAACACTGAAAGAGGTAAATATTCTAAAATAATCACTCTCCTAATGATGAGGGATATGCACAAATTAATTTCCCACATTATGGAATGTTTCTCGGATAATTTCATTGCAAAAACCTCATATACTAGGGTTCTAGAATGCAGTTGTGTAACGTATACTTTGAGTTTCTCTAATCTCCACAAAAAAATCTAGTGGCGTTATGTCAGGTGATCGAGTGGGACATTTTGAAGGATCACGCGTATACTATCATTCGGTTTGAATGAGTGTCATCCAGGCACTAACTGGTCATAATTATTCTCAGATTCCTCATTTATTTCAAAAATTGTTGTTGCGATAGTATAATTTGAACTATATTGGGATTATATAATTCATCATTTTTCCAGATTCTCTAAAATAGTATGACTGCCAATTACTCAGGAACGGCTAGTCCAATTTCCACAAAAAGACACTATTGGGTAAAGAATTGAATAAATATAGTTTGAAAAACTAAAAACACGCTTTTAAAGAACATCGAACTAAAAAGTTTAAAATATTTTTTTTAATAAGCTTAAAACAATACCGAACGAAAAATAACAGTAGTCGTCTGATGTCTACATTACAATTTACAATTTTACAAAACATTTAGCAAAGTGTGAAATCCAAAATATTAACAAATCCTTATGTCTAGTGACTGTATTACTAAAAGATTAAACAATTCTAGTACTTACAAGAAAAAAGATGTAACAAATCTGGTACTTACAAAGAAAATGGTAAGGCAAAAAAAAGCTTCGAAAACGCTGTAGCGTTATCACCTGAAGTGATACATTGAACAGATCTAAGTTATTATGATATTGATTTCCCTGCTTCAAAATACGAGGCATCGGACTGTTCAAAGCATAAGTGGTATGGAAAATATCAGGATTTCTCGTATCTTTTTGTTCAATATGAAACGTTATTAGTTGAAGTAGTACTGGGCAGTTCATCTCACTATTTAATAATTTGAAGAGGAAACTCAAGTTCATAGAAATTCTCCTATCTTCCCATGATTTTATATTCAACTTGGTTGAGAGTTGGCTATCAAAACAAAATGTCGTTTGTCATTTTTCACTATTTTCAATATCGTTACTTACATTTCGGAAGCTTTCCTGACCACCTCGAATTCTCTTGGCACGCCATGATGGGTTGTCCTTCCATCATGTAGTCGGGATTACAGTTGAACTGCACCACATCACCAGCCTTGTAAGGACCATTTCCTTGGATGTAACCGTTCTCTGGAGGCGTTGGATTGTCGCAATGAACCTCTGTAAATCATTAAAATATTCGTGATTACGTTACTCAAGATCTTTATGATCATTCAAATCATTCTTCTGAAACGTACACATGGAATGTGGGATTTTAAAGATTCTAGATAAGAAATGAAGGTTGTGTTAATCGAAATGTAGTTATATCTATGAATAATCTTTCGTATACAGCGTGTCATTTTGAAATTTCATGAGTCTTATACAGGATGAGTCAACAAGATTCTCGGTCCCGGTCCATTGCAGTGGAAACATTTTTTCGAACTGCTCAATTTTTTTGCAGTCACATCGATTATTACTATCTTTTAAAATTATTTTGTCGTATACTGGGTGATTCAGCCGAGCATGGCCAACTAAAGTTATATTTTTTTTAAATAGAACAGTATATGAGTGACTCATTCGATTCCATATTCTTTTAGCTCTCTGAGGCATTTTAGTTTTCGAATTTTTTTTGCGACATTGCCAAGGTATTCCAGAAAAACCTATACTATAACAATTTTCAATTGAAGGTGATTCATTAGCAAGGTCGCACTTGAAGTGACCAACGCATAATCCTCTTACCAACTCTGCAGAGGCGTACCAAAATAATATTTTTATTTATTTAAACACATAGGTAATTACGTAAAAATTGTTATAGTAGGTGGCGCTACCTGGTATCAATAGTAAAACTGATTACATTTTCTTATCAAGCCAAATACAGGACTTCATAATTATTATGTTTCTTTTATATAGAAAGAGAACTGCAAAGCAAAGAAATGATTACCCATGTTATGCTTATGAAGTTTCAGAATCCATTGACTCCATGGCATTACAGCATTACAGCATTAGCCCAATCTTCTTTTCGTATCCGTTCCATTGGGAGTTCTAATAAACGTTGGACATCAGAAATTTTATATGTCACGATTTCACGAGCTACGTAACCCTTAATTTGAACTCAGATTAATCCTATCGGGTTTAACTCGCAATGGTAAAGAGGAACTCTCAAAATGGTTATGCCTTCAGCACGAGCTATTGTATCCACTACATGCTGGCGATATCTGTCACGATGCTGTTTAATGACACTCATAAGCTCGGCCTTAACCATGTCCTCGGAAAATGGAATTCCTTTTTGTCCTAACCTACTCTGCAAGTCTGCTTTTCTGGTGGTCATAGTTGGGAGCTGTTCTACTAATCGGCTGTGATAAGAAGCGTTATCCATTACTATTACCGAATTTGGCTCCTTCAAAGCGTTGGGCGTCCATGTCTTCGTGATAATCCCCCGTTTTTTGGATGAAAAAATTAGTGCACTATCGTCTAAAAAGCCACTCTCGCTACCTATATGGGCGACAATTAGACGTTGCCCTTTACCCGTTGGTCCGCGTAACCTGTTGATAAACCGTCCACAAATGCTTCACGATAACTAGCTACAGTAGTATCTTGCCAGATCTTAGATACTGTGTGACCAGCATTCACCCACGTTTCGTCTAGATAATGAATCTTTTTGTGAGCAGAACGCATTTCTCTAATAGAGCGAAGATATCTCCGTTGCCATGAGACTATATCTTCTCTTTCTATTAAAACAGATTTACGGGATCGTTTGGCATATATAAATTTTAAATCTTCTTTTTTTATTATTTTCCTTAACTTCTTTTTGCTCATTACCTTTGTCCTCATGGATTCGAGGGTTGGCGCTTTATTTTCAAAAAAGAAACAATGAATGGTATAGCGTACACATTTTCTCTGTTACTCATCCAATTCAATTTTTTTCCCACCACGACAATGTACTTTTGGAGCTTGCACAATCCCAGTCACCTTTTTTTCACGTGCAATGCGTTCAATTGTCGACACGGATATTTCCGTTAAAAATGAATACGGAGTGTATTTTTTAAATTTTCGTACACTCTACAGACAATCTGTTTTTCTTCTAGATTAAATTATTTACATACTTAAAAAAGAGGAATGAAATAATGCATTCAACATTTAAAGGGATTCGTTTCTATCTCACCATTTGGCAAGTAAACATTTTAGGTTTAGATTTATAAAGAGATCAGAATTCATCGTGGAATCTACCTCAATCGACTCAGAAGGAAAAATTGCTTCTCTTTTAGGTATATTTTATAAAATGAGAAATATTATTCCTTTTAAATATTTGAAAACAATCTCTTTCTCTTTGAAGCATTCAAATCTTCAATACCTAACAACAGTTTGAGCAACAGCTAATTTCTCTCACTTTGAACTTTTACAACGGTTACAAAATCAAATAATAAAATGTATACACAATCTGAATCAGAAAGAAAGGACCAGCAATCTGTATGAACCTAAAAAATTATTTGATACTAGGGGAATGAATTATTCCAAAATATGCATGTTCATTTATGATGTTAAGAATAATAAAAAACATCCAGTACTATCTTTAAATACAAGTTACACATTTATTATAATCATGGAATGTTATTGGGTAGTAACTTTTTGATATTAACTTATTAGTTCGTTCTTCATTACACATATTATTAGCAGATTCTCTGTTGATACGTATTTTTTATATTGTAGAAGCCAATTAATTTAAAGATATGTCTTGCATCTTGCATCTTACTTTTGTTTTATCGTAAAATAATCGTTGGATTACTTAAGTAAATCCTGTGATGAACTGTTTGGAACCTTTGGTGTAGTAATGAATATTACTGGAGGTTTTTCCCAACATCAAACCGTTATTTCAACACCTCGACACGTGTTTCGATTACCAAGTGATCCTCTTCAAGAGGAAGATTAATCTTCCTCTTGAAGTCCAATCTTCCTCTCTAAGATGATCACTTCGAAACACATGTCGAGGTGTTGAAAATAACTATTAATGTTGGGATAAAACTCCACCAAAAGTTCCTCACAAATGTAACTCCATGTTTTCAAAAAATGTTCCTATAACTGTCATTCAGTTGGTGTATGCAACAGAAAGAATCAGTTTACTTTTTTCTACTATTGAGTTTCAAATCGATTTCCTTTTCCAAAATTGAAAGCCTAAACTTTTCCCAGTAAACATACTATATATATTATCACAAAAATTCAATCTTGGAAATCTCCATCCAATAAAAACTGATGAGACAACCAGATAGGAAGGAGAGGCTATTTCCTAGCTGGCTTTGCATGTTTTTTTTTCCTCAAACATCTCTGAAATTCAACTGGATATTGGAAAACACCTCAAAGTCTTTCGTATCTGGTTCCCTTCTTCAAAGAACTAACCTTCGCAGGTGGGAAAAGGCGTTGCCCAATCTCCACTCGCTTGACAGATAGTTTCAGCTGGCCCTCTGAGACCGAAACCCGGTTCGCAGCTGAAAATAGCTCTCCCTCCTACCTCTCTAGATACCACAAGAACTTTCAGACGATCGCCTAATGCACCTCCTACTTCACCACATTCGATACCTATAAAATGGTTTCAGGTAAACAGTCATATAATATTGATACTAAGAAAAAATCGTGAAAGATTTCAACTCTGGTCTTCAGGAAGATACCTGACTACTGACTACCTAAAAAATCAACCCTTGTCAGCCATTCTCTCCTCATACCCTCTAAAAGACAACCCTCATGTGGTAACACCTTATTTGAAAGGTCTTTCAATGGGGAATGTTCCTCAATTTGAGTTATATCAGCAAATGCAAGTTTGAACAAAATAAAGTTGAGTTTAATTCATGAGTTTTTCAAATTCACTTCGAAAAGTATTCAAATTGATGTTTCAAATGTTGGATAACAATTTTTAAAGGGATTTGTTTCTAATTCACATATTGGCAACGTGGCCTATATCAAGTTGAGATAATTTATACGAACCTAGATATTCTACTTCAAAAAAGTAAAATCATATTTCTAAATCAACAATTAAGGCAGAATATAAATTATAGTTCAATACCACCTCCACAAGCCACATAAACAACAGTTATTTTGTTATTTATTTGTATAGAGGAAGATAGGTTAGGTGCAAAAAATGTCATATGTCACAGAATGTTTCGGAACTCGGAACATAAGTAAACAGAACAGCACGCCTCTGAAATATGTCATCTTTGTTTGTCCCATACAGGTAACAGATTCATTGTCCTTTATTAGCTATAAGCGATGTTGCCGAATGGTGAAATAGAAACTAATTCCTTTGAATGTTGAATCCACTATTTCATTCTTCTTTTTCAAGTATTTAAATAATTTTGCAAAGAAAAAGGTTGAAATGATAAGTTTGAAATACGTTGTTTTAGAGCTCTTTTATGAAAACTACTTTGATTTTCGTCAGGAGGAATATTCCCCATTCTATATCCAACGCTGTGAGATTTTTGACATTACTAACGAATAGCAATGCCAGAAATAATAAAATACTAATTTTTTTCTAGTTCGAACTGAAAAGTCTATCTGAACACATAATGTCACTATCTGAAATGATCACAAAATTTGATATTTGGTTCACACTGTCGATTTCTCTTAATCCATACTAATGAAATATTCGAAATGTTTTTTCAAATATCCTTTGGTAAAAAAAGTACTTTCGCTGAACCCTTTCTCCCCACAATTGATCACAATTATAATACAAGAATCTTTTTTATTTTCGATCCAGGATTCCTTCTTGAAAACCTGGATTATAAAAAAGGCCTATGCGAAAATAAAGTTAAATATAATTGAAAACTGAAAAAACAATATGCAAAAAGTTCACATACAGCATTTTTTTGCTTTTATCAAAGACAAGTACTTCTCAAGAAAACGCCAAAATGTTGGCTAAAATTTTTGACATTTCTGGAGGTGTTGAAGGGATTAACCTCCACTTCTCCGATGTTGATGGCCCTCCATCTTCCGCAGGAGTACAGGAGTCTCGCTGGAGACGTCAATGAGTGAAACTATACACGTATGCAGCTTAAATATAATATCAGACGATTATGAGGAGAATTTGAAATGACTGATACATCTACACCACACTTCTCATAAGAGCACAACCCCTCCACTCCACTTCAAGGTAAAACGATGAGGTTTAATTCAAAGTCATATGGTATGGCCCAAGGTCAAGGTGATGAATCAAGGGCAGGGTCGATCGTCAAAGTCAAACTCCCTGCTCAAGGTTATATGACGTGCACATCACTCAAGGTCGCATGACGTCATTTAAGGCTAAGGTCAAGTGGTGGGGGAGGTTAAGAACCGTCATTAGTGCTCTATTGCAAGGGACCATGTACATCAGAGAACTTTGCAGCATAGGACGTATGCATGTGTTCAATTTGAACATTCGAAACCCAAGCAGAAAAAAGGCAGCCAAGCAGCTGTGTGTCCAACTACTAAACAGTAAACGAATGAGTGGAAAAGGAAATATTACCAATGAACAAATAATTGGTGGAAGAAAAAAGTATGGTGTATCATGAAGCAGTTTCGTTGCAAAAAACTGCTTAATTTCCCAAGATTGGAGTCTTTTGTGATCCCTGTCTCTCTCTTTCTCTTTCTCTCTCTCTGAATATTTTATATATTTCAAGTACACTGAAAACCTCATGGAAAAAAGAAATTGAATGTATTCATTACTCATTCATATTCTCGTAACCTAATGAATCTTTCCAATGAATGAATGTCATTCAAAGGTTCTCAAATTACTTGGGAAGTTCCAGCCAGAAAATGTCTGTTGTAGTCAAAAAAAATCCACGATTCGTACTCCTAATCTACTTCGTTACACTCACTTTCACATATTGGAAATGGGGAGCTCCAATTTCCGGAAGGAAGACAGACGATTTCTGGAGCACCAATCAGTGAATTTCCATTGATACATGAAAACTTCAATCTCGTGTTCATCTTCGTACTCTGCGTGTTTACAGTCAGTCCTCTTCTCTGTGGTACCACAGGACAGTGAACAGCTGAGAAATAAGTCATATGAAAATGTTGTCAATTAAAAACTCACACACTCATCGTAGGGTATACTGTAGATAGTGGAATCTCGGATAATCCTCACCTTTAACTTCGATCTCAACAGAATGAGTGTATCTAGCCGGTGTTACGCATGTGAATAATCCAGAGTCATCTTTGGCAGCATGAAGAATGGAGAGCCTGTATTCGAGTTGGGAGTCGCGACCTGGATCTGTAGTCCATCCTTCTGGATATTTTCTGTAAATATTCAAAATGGTGTATCGGGTTTTGATCATAGAAATTAGTTCTTCAATATAACCACCTCCGTCCGCCCCTGGTAAATTAGGTGGACTGAAAAAATCGTAGGCTAACACACAGATGGCCCTACAAGTATCAAATTAATATAATTTTAGTTAATCCTAACCTTCAAAAGACAGGTGTACTAATTTCACAGCTGTCGGCATAGAACATTTTGAGTGAATTAACTTTCATCAGTTTGAAGAGAATGTATGAGATGAAATAGGGAACTTGCAGATTTTTTTTTTAATCATAAATGTGTTCTGCTATGATAACTATCAACTACTGCAAAATATGAACAGTGAAATATCAATAGTCAGTTTATACGAAATATACAAAGTTTCTTGAGTAGAAAAACCAATTCACACAAGAGTTTAAAGGCGCGAACTGTCATGACGTCATACTGTATCAATCCGGGCGCACGCATACGGCGCAGGCTGAGACTGCCATTCAAATCTACTTATTCAAGCAGCTGCAGCTGTGTAAAATGTGATGATGTCCTGTTTTTTTAATAGATTGGTATTATTGAGTTTTATAGTTTTGTGATTTGTGTTTTACCTTGATTCAGCTTTGTTTGTGTGTTGTTGAATTTATAAATTTAACAAGGACTTTCAATTTCGAAGGCAATGGAACACAAACAATATTACAAATATTGCATTGTGTCTTTGTGCACAAATACCTCCATTAAATCACCCAATAAAATATTTATAAGAGTACCTGAAGATGATCGTCGAACAAAATGGATGAATACATGCAGAAGGAATAGCAGTAAAGCTCTTCATGTATGTGAAGACCTTATTGTGGGGCTAAAGAAAAATCGTACTATAAAAATGGTATCAAAAAGTTGTAGGACCGCTTGGATCGTCTTTGAAGACAACTGAATTGAATAATAAAATTAGCCTACGAGTTTTTGAGCTCAACTGTTATGTCTCCTAAAAACATAGTTCAGGTAAAGATGCAGTAGTTAATGAGAAGGTTTGTCATAAATCCATGGAGACTGAGCATTGCTTTGTTTGCAAAGTCTACCTAAAAACATCTTTCTTAAAATATGGTTTGCTGAAGCACTAATAAATAATAACCTACAACTCATTAATTGACGAGAACTTCCCGACGGGGTTGATGTTGAAACATCTATAGTTATAAATTGAAAGGAATATATTTTGAGGAAGAATTAATTTTTGGAAAATAAAGGCTTCGGCTTTCCACTTCTCCATCTTCATACAAAAAATATGGGAATCGTCCATACGTTATCGTGTTGCATATTGCATTAATTGCAATATGCATATTAAAATAGTATATTTTGACACTTTGCAAAAGCAAATAAACCTTTGGTTGAATATGTGTTGAGCTTTTCCAGGTTTTCAAAAATGAATTTCATTAACGTGGGATCGATAGGAACTTTCACAATGGAGAAGGACCGACACTAAATGGGAAATATCTGTATATCGAAAACCCACTCACACAGGACAGTATCTGAACCAGAAATCCAACCACCATCAATCGACTAAGAGAGGAATCATCAAGACTCTACTAGACCGTGCTTTCGGGCTCTGTAATACAAAGGAAGGTCTCGAAAAGAACCAGGCATCATCAAAACTGACCTTCAACGGAATGATTATTCCAGAGTGATGGTAGAACAAGCTTTAGCTAGAAGACAGCAAGAGCTCCACCAGGAAGAGGAGCCGCCACAACCAGTAGTTGTACTTCCCTACATCAGAGGATTATCGGAAAGGATAAAAAGGATTGGGTCCAAGTATAACATCAAGACCTGCTTCAGATCTGGGAACACTATCCATAGCAGCCTCACAAAAACCAGGCCATCAAACGCGGACTGGGATTCCAAGAATTGCATTCACCGGATACGCTGCGACTGCGGAGAATCATACATCGGTGAAACTAAGAGGCCATTGAAAGTTTGCATTGCTAAGCACAAAAAACACACACAGCGAGGAGAGACCAGCAAATCCAGAATAGCAGAGCATATTGGGCTCATCAACATAACATCAAGTGGGCTCAAGCTGAAATCATCCACAAAGAGGAACACTGGTTTGGGAGAAAATTCAAAGAAGCCGTGTATATGTTGTCCAACAACGCATTTAGTCAAGCTAGCGTAGAGATACATAACATATGGAAACCTCTAATCAAGCGAAAAACGACCAACTCCCGCCAAAGGGTCATCTCCCGCTAAAACTAATGAAGCAGAGAGAGGGAAGAGGGGATAGGTGAAAGCACTCGAATGACCGATAAATAGTCAGATCTCGGAGTAATAAGTCCAGTTATCACCCGAAGACGATTGTGGATACAAACAATCGAAACGTCGTGATGTAACTTGTTTTGGAATCTTTTAATTTTTATTTTTCATTTTTTTTTATTAATATTTTTTATTTTCAACATTTATTTGATGTTTCAATTTTGCATTTTTTTGGTTGTTGCTTGTATGTTACTTCTTTGTAATTTCAGTTTTTTGTTTAATAAAATTGTTATTTTCGGTTAATCTTTTTAATTTTTTCTCAGGGATTTCAAATAAATTGATATTATATTAGACAATGGAAGTCCGAACTGATGAAAGGAACTTTTTACATTGGATTTATAATGGTGTTTTGTACATTCATACCAATTTTCAGCTCTATGCGAGTTGTTGAAACCTCACCTATATTTTGTTGACTAATTTGTTCGGGCTATATGTCATATTGCCATATCAAAGGGACTGCTTTTTTGTTTATTTCTACAAAGTCATTCAATGAGTTTAGTTTTCAACTGTCAGATTGAAGTTAGCATTTTCCTTTGGGTCTTTTAGGTGACACTGTGGTTTACTATTACTTCAGAAAATATCTGCAATAGAAGTTAATATAAGTTGACGTGACAGATTGTGAGTACTGTACATATACATATATAAGCCAATTTCACTAATTTGTATGGAATTTATAATGATGGCCATCTTTTGAAAATTGTTTCTAGGTGTTAACTGTCATATGAATCAACATTAAATAATGTAAATGATTTCAACTTGAAATTCAGGTGGCTCATATTCACATTTCCTACCCGATTCCACAAAAATCAAGAAACAATGTATCAGGTTGTTTCCAAAGTTCTGTCCGTTTTTATGAGTCTACCTTAACTGTAATATCTCAGTAAAAACGTATTCAATTTGATAGTGGTCAATTGGTGAGAGGTCTGGGAAGTATAGTGGGAGAGGCAGAACTTCGACGCTCAAACCGTTCAATTTTCGAACGGAGAAGAATTGAATATCCTCTGTTGACTAGTGACGGCTACTGCTGATTTGATTTTTGATTCATTTCGTTATTTCCGCACAACAGAATGGTTTAGTCCGGATGGAGAAAGTTATAGTGAATCACACCACCCGCTGACTACCATACATCAACCATGGTCTTTTTTTTTAAGATTTCACTATCGAATTTTCTTAAATTTTGCACCACGCGCTTACAAACAAAATAACTCCCCTATTAGGGCCACCTTTCCCAGCCTCGAAGGCTGAGGGATGAGACCGCTGATCTCTCGTCTCGACGAGTTCCGGTGACCAACTTTTTGTGTCTCCCCGCAAAAATTCTCCCAAGCTCTCGCGTCAACAACGCTAGCCACAAAAACCTCATCTCAGATTTTTTTTAACATTCCCAAGCGTATGATCATCGGCTGAAAGCAATATATTCATTTGTTTAGTCTAGTTCAACTTTGAACGTAGGTCCGCTCGTAGGTCCGACAGTCATAACGTAATTCAGCGCTTTTTCAACTGGAAAAATATCGACACCGAAGAAACGGGTGATCGCAATGCCAGTCATTATAATGCGTAGAATGAATATTTATTGAGATATGAAGCTACAAAAACTCATAACATTGAAAATGGACAAACTTCCGAAGCAACCCAATATTGAGAAATAACTACTCCTATTGATGTGAATTATAGCCCCCTTTTCGTCAATCAAGTTGACGTCATCAGGTAATCGAATCAGTGTAAATGTCAACTTGATTGGTCAATCTGCCGAGAAGAGTTTCACCATCCTGGTGGGTAGAAGAAATGGTGGGTGGATGAACTTCGATTTACCTATAGTCGTGACTGACGGTCCATTTCGGATTCCCGAACCTTCTTATCCATAAGCACTCCATATGCAAAATAGTTCCAGGATAAACGATCAGTTTACCTTCGTTTGACTGCGCTATAGGTCCTAGTTGGTGTCTGAACAAAATGGTGGGTGGTTTCTCCATGGAATAGTCATTAGCTTGGTTCAAACCGAAACAAGCCGGTTTTACGCCATCCCAGTCGCCTCCCATGCATCTTCTTTTATTGGGACCTGCAAATAGTTGTTGTTGAAGAGCAAATTTGGATATTCGTAACTACAGCTTCTTTTCGAGAGCACTGGAAGTCTCGCTTTTCAAAGCATTTTCTCGGAAGAGGGAATGAAAATCAAACGATTTTTTCCAACCGCAACGTGAAAACAAACATATTGGATTGAATCAAGTCAATTTTAATTTTTTCACTCGAATGTTTTGAGAAATATATTATGAACAATGTAACGAACTTATTTCTCCGTGGATTTTGTTTATTATATTCCAGGTTTCTCAAAGAACTCCTTCACAAGTTGGCAGGTATCTGTGACGCCCTACCTGATAGTGACAGTCTTGACATCTCCTCTTATATGAAGACGCTATCTTTATATCGTCATAAGGCTCAGTACAGAAATACAAAGATAAACGAGGTTCTCCAAGGTGATCAATTGCAAAGCTAAGCTTCGACAGAGCGCAACAAAATGCTGTTTCGACCCACCATTGGTCTCATCAGTATTGCTAAAGCGAATCACAAAAGCAATGTTAGACTGTCTTTAAAATACCAACTTGCGTAAGTAGAGGCGATGACATCTTTTCTCATGAAAACTTCATCTGTGTGATGAGCAGATGACTCAAATCTGCGAATATGAAATATAAAAGGGGCCTTCCAAAGCGCTCAGTTGCGAAGGCATGTCTCAGACTAGACCTTTTCTAGAATATCGCTCACAATCCTAGTCTTAAGCTTCTCCTTTCTGATTGGAGAAGGTTGAGGACTGACTTATAAAAACCACACTTCTTCTAAACTCTTTGGAGGGAGCTTAATGTGAGGAATTAATTCTTCGGAACGGTTTTTTCAAATGAATTAAATCTACGGCTATTGAAAACTGATGTAAATCGGTTCTCACAGCCGCAGTTCTCAGAACGTTTTTGAAAATTTTCTGCTATGCTATCTCCATGAAGATTCATTGTAGACTTTTCTGAGATTCATTACCAAGAATTAGAGGTCTCTAAGGACTCAATAAGGAGAAAACCTTGAAGCTTATTTTCAACGGACTCGAGTTAGTTTTAACTTTTGATTTTCATTTTTCATCATTTTCTGATCTGTTTCAAAGGTGTGTAGTGTAAGCCATAGATGATATTTTAAAAAACGGAATCTAAGCATACGAGTATTACAAAATCACATCTTTCATTTCAAGAAAATATTTACAGCGAAGAAAATTGGATTAGATAATTCAGGATACACTTCCTACGTGAATAGCATTTTACAAGTGTTTTTCATGACAAAGAATTTTGAGTATGAGGTTTTAACGATGAACGAGATCGAGAATGTTTCCTACTTATTCACCAAACTCAAACGATTGTTCATGCAGTTTCAGTTCCGTAAGAATGTATCATCTCTCCCACCAAGCGATTTTCTAAAGTCCACTAGATACTCGTTAGGACAACAAAAGGATTGCTCCGAATTCTTGGGGTTCTCTTCGTGAGCAAAAAATAGCAGAATTGATACTTCTGATCGCTCTGGATTAAATGATTCCGTACAGTACATCTCGTCTTGTGTTTGAGATCGTTTACTTTTCAGTAAATTTTCAAGAAGTAGCACAAGTGTGTCCTAATATAACTGCTAACCAATCCGTGCAAAGCTTATTGTTGTATCATCTGAAAATAGAACTTTCAACGGGTGATGATCAACTGTATTGCCAAATATGCGCCAAACTAACTGACTATTATAAGACAACAAGTATAGCTGAACCACCAGTCAATCTAATAATAACACTGATGATCTTCAAACATGACTCAACCTCTGACGGAAGCACCAAACTCTTACGAAGGTTCGAAATAGATTAACACTTCAATCTAGTAGACCACTATTATAATCTTCATGCACTCATTGTTCACTGTGGTTCTGGAGTTAAATCTGGCCATTATTACGCATTGGTAATTTGGTACAGTGAATAATAATGTTTATATTCATTTTTAACCCATTCAAGAAATTGAGGTTATATCTGCAACTAGAAAACTAAAGGACCAACTGACATCAGGCCCAGATATGATCTCATCATTTTTGTTAAAGGATTGTGCAGGAGCATTAGCAAAACCTTCAACAAGAATTTTCAATTCATGTCTGATACCTGGAACATTCCCAGATATTTGGAAATTAGCTAAAGTATGTCCTGTATACAAAAGTGTTGAAAAATCATATATAGAGAATTACAGATCCATATCTATTTTATGTATGTTTTCTGAAATTTTTGAGATTATTTTATATAATCGCACTTATGCTTCTGTTCAACGGCAACTATCTCAACATCAACATGAATTTGTTACTAAGCGTTCTACTATTGCAAATCTAGTCATTATTACTCAATTTATTTCCGAAGCATTAGATAACAATGGCCAAGTTGATGTTATAAACACGGATTTCACTAAAGCATTTGATAAAATTGATCATGGTATCTTGCTCAATAAACTGATGAGTTTCGGTTTTTCGAATACTGCCTGTCAGCTGATGCAATCCTATCTGACATGTAGAAAACAATTCGTTTCCAATAACGGTTATAAATCCAGAACATATATAGCTTCTTCTGGTGTGCCTCAGGGCTCCAACCTAGGTCCTCTTTTATTTTTATTGTTTATTTATGACTTATGTGAAAGTTTAGCTTGCGAGCGGTTATGCTTCGCGGATGACTTGAAATTATTTTCTATAATTAAGGAAGTAGGTTATTGTGTAAATCTTCAATGTCAATTAGAATTTATTGTTGCTTGGTGTAGCAATAATAAATTGGAACTCAATGTGGAGAAATGTAAAGTAGTGAGTTATAGTCGAAAAAAAGGGTTTATACATTCCCGTATGTAATACAGGATTCTACTGAGATGAATTGAAGGGGTTATATTTTTTAGGAGTGATTAATTTTTGGGAAAAAAAGTTTTTGGCTTTCTACTACTCCATCTTGATACAAAAAAAAAGGATGAGGGAGTCTTCCAAAGAAAGGAAGGAAGTAACTCTATACATGGAAACAGCCATTGAAAGAGTTGAAAGAAAGTTTCGTAAATTCCTAATTTTCAGACTAGATGGTTTTTACCCTGAGAGAGGTATCAGTAATGATGTCATATATGAACGTTTGGAACTTTTTAGTTTAGAGTATCGCAGAAAATGTGAGTCGCTCATATTTTTATTCAAGTTAGAGAAGGAGAGAGTTGACTGTCCTAAAATTCTTGAACAAATTAACTTTAATGTGCCACGGCCAGCTTCACGATCTCAAACCATTTTTAGTCCTCTCAGAGCAAGAACTAACATAATATGCTCAATTCCCCAATATATGTTATGTGCACAAATTTCAATAGCATTTGTGCCCATAGTGATGCATTCTTCAGCAACCTTCATAACATTATTAGAATTGCTAACGTGTACTTGAAGTAGGTAATTAGAATTAGTTTTTCTTTTTTGTTCATTTTATTTTTCATTTGTGGTTGAGTATTGTGAATGAAATTTTATGTTATCCGGTAAATGGATAACTGTTGGACAATAAACTATTATTATTGGTCAAAAACGAAACAGACTGGTTTAAATTTACGATAGTCGTGTCAGTAAGTGTTCTGGCGATGTATTGAATTTATTGGAGCCTCTGGAGATACCCTACATTTTGTTTAACAAAAGATAGGACATTGGCAAATCAAGATCTTCAGATGATGTGGTACTGCAGGTTTTTCCGGCTGAAAAAGCAAATGCCCCACTGAAATCAATGAAGTCGCTCCGGAGCGCCAATTAATTTTTGTTGTTTCATAATTTCATGATTTGTTAAAGTATGTTAAATTCATTAGGAATAATTTTTTCATTACATAATGGCCAAGATAGCTTGAATATTTCTTTTCACATACCAATCATTGCAAACTTTCCAATATCAGCACACCTGCTTATAAGAACTGTTCCAGCCGGAAACTCCACTACATCCTCACGAATTTGTTGATCGTTATAAAACGATATAACGTTTGGTTCCTGGTTTCGGAAAATACAAGTACTATTATTGTTCACCACCTGAGAAGCCATGAAGTCCTCAGAATCTACAAAAAAATCATTCCCTTTTCAACCCAAAAGTTTTTTTCTTGAATAACTTCACTCACCGCAATTGAGGGATCGACCTATCCAACTCCCGTCTTCACAAATGATCTTCCAGGTTGTTTTCTCTCCCATTATACTCTCTATACAATTGAATGTCACTTCACTTCCATCAGGAAAGTTATTCTCATCGTCTACCACAGGTTCTCCGTTTCGATATACTAATGAACCACGAACTCTGTAAAAGAAATTATAACTAGTAAAAGACAGTGGATAGGAATGCTGAGATACAGAGTGCAGGAAACGGAAAATTCAAGAGGACTGAGGTCAGGAGGTCTGGGATGCCTTTAAATAATATTATAGGAACCTATAGTCATTAGCGAACATTCACGAGCAAGTGCTCCATCCTGCGTGAAATACCAATCATACCTCCTTTGAGATCAGGATCATCCGAAAATTTTTCAGGGCAGCAGTTTCCCACAGGTTGTAGACACAGAAATGGTTTTTCTCTCTGGATTACCCAACTTCAGTAATACTGTACCGTTGATATATGAATTTGTATTTGAGAATTCTCTGAGAATTGTAACAACAAATCAAGCAAGCAAAACCACCAAACAATCAATGATAATAATTATAATAATAATAATACAAAAAAATCATCGCATTGATTTTTCACATAAATTGTACACTTCATATTTGTAACCATGAGCTTATAAGGTCGGAGTTCATTTTATTTGAAAAATATACCTCCACTGAAATGCTCTTCTACCCAAAAATGCTGCCCTAACTCCATCAACCTTATCAAATATTACCATAGATGAATTTTTCAAGTTTATATAGAAGAAAAAACAACAAAAAAGACAAAAAAGTTAATATTGGTCAAAAAGATATTTCAAATTAGTTGAAAGAACGATTCGTTTAGGCCAGTCTCAAATTACCTACACCCACGAAGGGAGTTGGATTCTACACTTCCGCCCCCAACACCCGAAGCTTGCAAATTCAAGCACAAAGCATGATCGACCAGTTCGAGCAGTAGTGCAACAAGCGGCGTATCAAAATTAATCCCGCCAAAACACAAACCATCCTATTCTGACATCCTCACACCACTACCCGCCCTAAATTAAATCCCGATAACTTGAACCTCAGACACTTAGGAGGAAACCTCATACTCCAGGATTCAGTGTCCTACCTACTTGGGGGGTCACTTTCACGAGGACCCCCAACTGGGCGGTCGACCTGAGAGAAACTCTGGACAGAGTCCGGAAGAGAGCAAACCTGCTGAAAGCACTGAGAGGCAATCTCGAGAGGTGCGACAGTGAAACTCTCCTAGATACTTATAAATCTTTCATCAGACCAGTCCTAGACTACAAAGCGATGATATACTGTACGCTTCCCTGGGACTATCCCACCGTATCCTAACTACCGAGAGGAGAATCCTACAGAACATCCACAACCTCCATTACCGTTTCCCATCCCTATATAAACCTATATAACCTAATAAATACTACATCAATCAATCTACGATTTGATTTCAGGAACTTCAAGGACGATACGCGTTTATAACGATGAGCAGTAGCAACACTGATGTCATCAACTCGCTGACCACACCATGGACTCTTCGTGGAGGACCCAGAAGGATTTCTAGGAAGAAGCTCCCATTTCCCACACTCAGACTCCTGGAAACAATAGAAGATCCACTGGAGCAGATCCAGGATATCCTAGAGGAATACCCACTTGGAATCAGATAGCGAAAAGCTGCGTCCAGGAAGGAGCTGAAATCTGAAGCCATGACCCCCGGCCTTATTACCTAAAAACCCCAACGAACACTGCAACTGACCCAGACCACTCTAACGGAACAAAGGAAAGGCTGAAAACAAAAGGAACACATGACACTAAAACAACATTACACTAGATATCATTACACAAGACACAACACATACAACCCACTAACCCTGAAGAGGCATAAGCCTATAGCAGGGCCCCACACAACAAAATACACATTTACAATATTCCGTAAATATTCTTAAAAACTAAACAAAATTGCAGACCGGTTTCAGGCTGCTTGACCACTCGTCAGTGCCAGGTAGTGTCTATCATCAACATTAAGTCGATGATTTCCGATAAATGAAGATCGAATTCCTTCAGAATATCATTTCTCGAACTAGGCTGAAGCGAACGATAAACAACATGTTCATCAACGCCCCGTCTGCCCGTGAACGAGGTAACCAACCGCAATTCTTCGTATAAGGAAGAAAACTTCACTCATTTCGTTCATTATCAGGAAAAACACCATTCATCAATTATATATTGAATAATATGAAGGCAGCAAATCTCAAGTTTAATTCGTCATATCCTTTTGCATTTGTTTTAATATTACAAATGGCTTAATTCAGAAACAAATCATTAACCTCAGAGAACTGAAATAGGTATCCTGATATCAAACAATTTTATTAATTTAATTCTACGAACTTATTTGGGGGTTTCATCTATCTATCTATCTATCTATGAGAAAAAAAACAGTTTTGAGTATGGGTAAATAAAATAATTTCGTCTCAAAGGGTTTTCTAGAATATACTGTGAAAATTTCCCCTGTTCTGAGAGGTTTTGGAGAGTGCAATATAGTACGTGAAATACAAAGTGAACAGTTCCTCAAATCCTATACCTTTGTTAGAAGAGTACTTGCTTCCAAAATATTTTTAAGCTTTCGTTTCCCTCCACTAAAATCGCCCCGATGTTCTACATCAGATGAACGTTGTTGGTATAATTAGATAAACAGATAAACACTGATAAAATCACCCCATTATTTACAATATTTCCTTTCAAATGGATTGCCAAGAAACATCAAAATGGGAGAGCTGGAAGTTTTTACTCACTTTGCTGGCGGTCCGCAAGGCTTACCACCCGAATTCCCATACTGTATTATAGTTATTTCTCCACCTTTCACTATATCACTACCACCTAAGTAATGAGTTTCTCCATCCGTATTACCGGAAATCCCTGGATTGAACTGGCAACTAGGATGACTCGGTTCCAGGTTCCCAAGAAGACACTGTACACTTTCACCGTTTGACTGACCGATCTCCCCTTCGCACTGAAAAGTGACGCTCGATCCATTAGCTATAGTAAGTCCGGCTCTGTATCCTGACATGTACTGCCCATTGGGGATCTTAGGGAGCAAGCAAGGAGCTGAAAAAGAAACTTTAGTGAATCATACTCGTCGAAATATTGACAGTAGGGGAGAAATATAATAACAGTTCATATGCTATCAGAGAAAACGAAATCCTTAGGCCTCTTCCCCATGGAGAGATTCACTTCTTTCGCTCCTCAGAGAGGGGAAGGCTCTTAGCGCCAAAATGCAACGAGTATAATGGAGCTTCCAGACGTAGAGCGGGAGCCGCCAAGTCTCCTCCTCATTATGTAAAAGTATGAATGGTGGGGGTTTCACAACAGCAGAGAAAACGGTTCTTCCTCTCTGCTCTAGTTGATGCTTCACACTTCTCATTATGGCAGATTACGATGTGGAGCTATTGTTGTTGTCTGCAACCGATCTGACGTTTCATCCAGTCGGGAAGGATGCAGATCCTCATGTTAGTATGTTCAAGCTGAATACTTATTCTTCATCTTGTCTGGGAGCTCTTCGAAGAAGCAGACGACACTCGAAAACGATTAAGAACTTTTTCTCATCCCGTCCAAGTTCTGGGTGAACCGTGGCAAAAACTTCTGCTTCATCGCGTTTATGATTGATTGGATGTATACAAAATATTCTTGATCGTTGGCGATTCTGTCGGCTCCCGGTATGAATGGGCGGTAAGTAGAAGTGATAAACGCTTCCGTTTAGGAGCGAGAGACGTTAAGCTTCCTATGTGAAAGAGTCCTTACTGGTGAGTCTTTTTAGCCATGGTCGATTGGAACTTGTAGTACCATTCGTTCCGTTTGCTACTACAGCAAACATCATAAGAAGGTTATATCTCGAAGTTCACTTGGCTATAAATCAAATACTTGGAGACTGGCTGTAAATCAAATTATCCAAAATTACAATTTGTTCAGGCCAGTCTCAAATTACCTACATTGTAAGTTAATGGACTGACATCTATCAGAAAACAACTACCTCCCTGGCTAATACCACGAAGGGTATATATTATATTTGACAGGTGTCAGTGCAGGACTCTTCACTGAAGTTACTGCCGGAATCGATTTTCAATAATTGGAACACACTTGCAGACCGGTTTCATGCTGTCCGGCCACTCGTCAGTCAAAATAAAGTCGATGATTTCCGATAATTGGAAATCGAATTCCATCAGTGTATCATTTCTCGAACTAGGCTGAAGCGAACGACAAACAAAATGTTTGTCATCGCCCCATCTGCCTGTGAATAAGGTAACCAACAGCATAATTTGATTTACAGCCAGTCTCCAAGTGGGCCCACTCAATTCGTGAAGTTTTTTTCCTTATATGAGGAATTGGGCAAATTTGTGATATGCGGGTGGTTTCCTCGTTCAAAGGCAGATGGGGCGATGGCAAACATGTTGTTTGTCGTTCGAGAAATGCTACTCTGAAGGAATTCGTTCTTCAATTATCGGAAATCATCGACTTTATGTTGATGATAGACACTACCTTGCACTGACGAGTAGCCAAACAGCCCGATACCGGTCTTCAAGTGTCTTCTGATACTTGAAAATCGATTACGGCAGTTGTATTGCCAACAACATATGCAGGAATAACTTCAGTAAGGAATCCTACACTGACACCTGTCAGATATAATCCAACGCCCTTCGTGATATTAGCCAGGGGAGTAGTTGTTTAATGATAGGTGTCAGTCCATCAACCTACAGTGTAAGTAATTTGGGACTGACCTGAACGAATTGTACTTATAGATAATTTGATATCTCGAAGTCTCACTGTATAATTTCTTTGCTCTCCATTTATAAAACGAAACAATATACAGAGAAAACAAATGATGGACGTATAGACTGATTTTATACAAAATTCTGTTCGTGTGTGTTGAAAATGCGAAAAGTATAGATGAAAATCTTCAGGAAAAGAGGTTTTGGTTATACCTAAAGTATGGCCGTACTTTGTTTTCCTGAATGAAACACTATACAGGGTGTCAATTTGAAAACGTATCAGCCTCTATATATCGGCGCCTATAGAAAATCTAAAAATATGCAAAAATACGATACATTCATTTTTGAGAGATACATTTTGTGAGCTAGTTTTTTATCAAATTACACCTACCCTCTGGTGAAAAAACCATACTGCAACTTTCCTCTACTTTTGGAAAAATCGAATGAAACTGTGAAGATTTTTGAGTATCATCGTAAAACATTGTCAAAAAGCAATTTATCCTTTCAAATATTCGAAATGTTACCCACGATTTTTCAAACTGCGATGAAATCTACCCCACGAGGTTCTTTACAGGCAACTGCAATTTTTCACTTTAAATATCACAAATTTCCAGACTATATTTCGTAAACAATTGGTTTCAGATGTCCCGATAGAAGAATCCGGAGGCTATGAGTCGGGTGATCGTAGTGGCCATTCTATTGCTCCTCTTCAACCAATACATCTGCCAGGAAAATTTATCGTTCAGCCACTGTCTAACTGGGAGTAGATACATTTTTGTTAAAATGCCCATCAAGAAAAAAAGTACACTTATCAGAAGGAATCTTGTTTAGTTGTTATTCTCTTCCTTCTTTTCTGAACAATTATCTCTCTTGCGATTATACTAAATTTCACATCATTATTAGTATAAAATCATTGTGTGAATAGAAAGCTCAAGAATAGGACTATGAACTATAAATTATGAAGCTGTGGCTTATATGATGAAAAAAGTGCAGTAGAAAAATACGAGCTTCAACATACAAGATGTCCTATCAATTCAGCAAAAATAGAAGGATGTTGTTAGTTTGATTGGCCATTATGATCAGCTACAGGCTATGCATGTTTCTGAATTTATTGACAACTCAACAGTTTAGATAAGACACTGCTTTATAAACATTATTGATTTTGTGTCCTGCAACTTCTTCTCTATCGTTTTTTTTAATGTACCTACCTTATTGAGAAATTATATTTCTTGATTCATGTTTTTTTGTTGAATTACAGATCCAAGTGTTCTTAAGTGATCGTTTTATAGTGTTTTGTACTTGCATGAACTGCATGGTTGGAAAAAACAAAATTTGTAAGACAGTAAAACAAAAAAGTTGAACACGTCAACGCAACCTGTTTCATAACTTTTCTTAGGATTTGAACGTGAAACATTTGCTTAAATTTCGTATTAAACAGTTATTATACAATATTCATGAAGTTTACTTCATGAAGTTATTCATAGTTATTCATGAAGTTATTCATTAAGTTTACTTCATGAATATGGAAAAATATTTTTTCATCTGAATGAATTATGGTTCAAATACTATTTAGATGAATTTTTTCATCATATAGACAAAACATGAAATTGGTACGTTGAAAAAGGCCAAATGTCGTCAAATCAGTCATTTCGCAAACGGCGTTTTTAAGGCCCAAGCAGCGGCAAAGCTGTTCTAACGTACCTGGAGCACATTCTGGAAAACTAGTCACTGCCCAGTCTCCATGCCAACACCTGAGGTTACTAGGACCTTGTACCTCGTAACCGTCTTCACAAGAAAACACAACCACTTGCCCATTCGCTATATCTACGGTTTCATTAAGGGGTTGGTCGGGATCGATCAGTGTATCAGTGTCGGTCTTAGATAAAGTATAAACACCGTTTGGAGTGACAGGAACGAAACAAGGTACTGAAATAGGTGAAATTTGTTGGAAATGGGTACGTACAGGGGGTTACTGGGTCGGTCAGATTGTGAAATAGAGCTCTTCTATCAAAACCGCATTTTATTTTTGGTGTCAGCGCCATCGTCTGCTCTTGTCATTAATATTTTGTTCTGGGTAGGCAATGTTAATAGCTCCCCGAGCCACCTGAGGAGCAATATGGCTATTCGCAGTCTGTCAGCCATGTAACGCCATGTGAAAGAATTTGGACCCAACATTTTTATTCCGATTTCCAAACAAAAACCGGTTTTGAATAAATGATAGAAATTTTGACGGTGCTATCACACGTGCTATCGAACTTCGTTCGACCTCAACATCTAGTATCCTTCAAAAATTCAGAGAGATTGACTTTTCAAGTCTGCCTATTGCAATGGTGTCAGGTGTGGGGTAGCTCATTATCTGAAAACATTAAATATGATTCATTTCATCGGTGAAGCGTCGTACTGAAGTTGTCACAGTCACTGACTCCAAAAGTAAATCAGTTCAAATTCCTTCCTTCCCATCTCACTAACTGACTGACCCGAACATAAAAATCATCATGCATCAACCTACAAATGAGGCACATCGGCTTAGTAGGTCTCCACTTCCCTCGGACGCACTTGGCCGTCTTGTTTTCTGGCATATTCAGGCCGTACCCCTTTCCGCAAGCCATCTTGACAACTGTTCCGGCGCTGAAACTGACGTTAGGATCTCTTCCAAATTTGACCACCTCAACGTTGACGAAAGGTTCGCTGGATAATGGTTCGCATGGACCCTTGTTTTTTGGTTTCGACTTTTTAGGTTCAGGAACTTCGTTGTCTGGTTTGTCTTCTTCTTCTTCCTCGTACATTTTCTGTTTGTGGCCTCTCCGGAGATTGAGCGAAGAGCTGGAACTCTTGTGGCTCGATCCAAAAGCTCTGCTACCGCTTCCACCTGGAAATAATTAATCATATATTGGACAGTTTTCAATACGGATGATGACTTTCAAATGATTACTTTGGATGTGAAAAATTTACAGTTAGGTTTAGCTATTGAAATTTTTCACAAAGAACAGTGAAGTCACGAGAATGAACAAAACAAATTGAATTTGAAACAATTTGAAGAGGTTGCCACAAAACGATAGAGAGATCGTATTTGATGATTTTCAGATGATTTCATGTTCTCAAATAGAGAATAGTTTTCGTCTTGAAATTGAACATCCAAACTAGTCCAAATAACACGAGGACTCAGTGTATAAGATTCAAAGGTTGTTTTTTAAATGAACGTGTCCAATTCCACTACAGTATATACGAAGTAAATTCGAATAGTATGAAAACTAAGTCTCTATATATAAAACACTTTCAATATGGTATACTGTGTGTTGACCAATAATGATATATTCTTAAATTTCGTTCCTATACATAAGTCTTATAACATAAGTACGTTAAAATATTCAAGTGACGTATTCCGGAGATAATTTAAAAAAAATAAGTCTATATGAACTTGTGTCCGAAAATGCTTCGTTTCGGAGATACGGGGTGTTGAAATTGANCGCAGTATACCTGACTTCTTCTATATTGAGCATTATCGAACTGCTTATTCAATCCAAATTTAAAAAATTTGTCAAATGTGTCATTTTATAGGAAAAAATTGTTTATTTTGACGAGATCCACCACATAATTAGTTTTTGTAATGTTCTCAGCGCCCTAGGAGCTGAGTAATATGCATCGATATAGAAAATTGTATATATCTCGAAAACGATCACCTCCAGCGTTGTTGAGGAGGTGTACCTTTCATACTTGGAAAAGGTGTGACAATTAGGTTTTTTCATGAAAAGTACCAAAAGTTTACTGTCAAAAAAGTTAGGGCAATTTGAAATAAATAATGACAGCGTACGCACCGCCCTCTAGATGTTTCATGAAAATCAATACGAAATTATGATTTCTCACGTCAAAAAAACCCCGGGTACCGAATTTCGTTCAAATAACTTATTTTTTGCAAGAGTTATTTTCAAAAAGCGAACAAAAAAAATTCAATTTCAGGAATACGTCACTTGAATATTTTAACGTACTTATGTTACACCCTGTATATGTTCAACTGAATAGTTCAACAAATAACAAAGGATCGAGAGACCTTTTGAATGGTGAAACTTTTAGAATTTTACTACTCACATGGAAAAGTATAGAAGAGTTATTTCTGAACTCACGGAATTGATGAAACGGAAAAAAAACTTTTTTTTTAATTTCAAAACGGACGTGTGAGTAGTAAAATATTTGCCTTGTATGAATTTTGGATCTTCACCAAGGATCATCCAATGCATATTTTCGGAAAACTAAAGTACATATGTATAATACAAAAATGCAGATAAGTAGGTAGAGAGAATATTGGCATTTGAACTAAAATCAAAGTATATTCAATCAGAAAAAGAGGAAAAAAAGGATACAATATTTGGACACTAGGATCTAACTGTCCATTAGGTTTCTCCAGATTTTTCAAAAAACAGCTTTGTGGAAGAGCAAAGATATGGAAAAGAAAAATAGATTGTTGACCAAGCAACCATTTGGGTATGAAAAAAAATTCATGAGCTCTACAATAGTTCAAGAATGCGTTTTCTAGGCTTTCAAAGCCTGGTTATCTACGCTTTCAGAGCCAAGTTATCTACGCTTTCAAAGCCAAGTTTAACAAGCTTTCTGAAGCCTAGTGTATCCAGGCTACTGAAGAATGGGGTATGGCAGTAGAAAAATTAACAATGACGTAGGTCTCATTTCAATCAGCCCATTGTGTGGTATTTGTGAGTTGTGCTTGTTTTGGATTGAAAGAGGAGGAACTAGTTGATTCTTTTCAAATATTAGGAGATCATGCAGTGTGGGATAACGGATTTGGCAAAAAGGACGGACCCATATTCACAAAATAGAAAAGCAGGTTACGTCTATTTTATTGTATGCTCTCTCAAAGAGATATAGAACGAGTAACCAACCAGATCGTTTTGGTCGAGATGTAACATCTTCTGTGGTATATTACATTCATACAAACTGCTCACCTTTGAGTGCCCTTTTTCGCCTAACCAAGCCATGGGTTCTCAACGCATTTGCTATTTTATTCGACAAGGACTCCGAAAAATACATTCTCTTTTTCATCAATGGAAAATCGTTCTTGGCAAGATGCAAATAATTGTGGATATATCTTTTATCAATATTGTCGTAGATCAATTTGTGGTGCCGAATGAAGGCTCTTTTATATTTTTCCATTATAATGGAACGCTTTCTTCTATTCCATCTAATACGAGGGTGTTGACCCAGCATACATCTGAAAAATAGAGGAGGAGATAGTGTTTCCTATCGCCTACGACATTCATAATGAACTTTGGAATCATTAATGAATCAATACTTTACTTTGGAAGCTGTTTGGGACTCCAGTGTCCCCCAATGCAAGTAGCTCCGGGTGGTCCTTCTGCTAGCACATATCCTTTATCGCAGTCATACATGATTTGCTTATTGTTTGTTACTTTCCTGACATACGGTCTATAGTCGTACAATCCCATATTCCCAACCAGGAGAATTTTTCCGTTTTCGATTGCTCCCGGATACGGACAGTATACTGGAAATTCGAAGGCAAATGTAAACCATGGGAAGAGGAGGGGATTTTGAGAAGAAGTAGAAGACTTTAACATACCCTCTTCACATTTTGGTGGTTCTCCTGTCCAGTTTCCGAATGAGCATTCCATTAGATCGTCGCCTTTGAGTTGATAACCGTCTTTGCATCTGAATCTCGCTTTCATTCCATGGTCTGTTTTTGGAGCTAGAACCATGCCGTTTCTGGGAGATTTTGGCAGCAGCTTGCATCTACAAAATGAAAATATATTTTATAATAGCCGACTCCACAGATTTTCTATCAGCGAAATAAATTTCTTCCTGACGTTTCGCTGGCGCGAGTGGCTAGCTTCTTCATAGGTTTAACCATCATGGCTTGCTGTCCGATGACTACCCTTTTAGGCTTCGTAAAGCGTATTTAGGCCTTGTCAGGTAATCAGTTGTATTTGTACCTGAATTTGTACCTGTATTCGTACCTGCACTTGAACCTGGAACATTAACAATCTTGCGGCCTGTTGTCCTGTTCGTTATTCTCGAATTTTCCAGAATGGGGTTCCATATTTGATTGAGGTTCACCGCTTCTTCTTTTCTGTTAAAATTATCCGTGTGTTTGTGGATCTCTATTGCCTCCCGTACCAGTCGGGTATAGTATCCCTGGTTGGGGACAATAAGTTGTGTGTTCTCAAACAAAATTATGTGGTCTCCTTCACTTAGTGCGTGTTCTGCCACAGCTGACTTGTCTGTTTGGCCTAGTCTGCAGTTCCTTTTATGCTCTTTTAGTCTTGTTCCCATGGATCGTTTGGTGGTTCCGATATATACCTTTCCACAAGTGCACGGAATGCGATAGACTCCTGCTGCTGATAATGGGTCTCTTTTGTCTTTAGCCGACCTGAGGCTTTGTTGTATCTTCCTCGTGGATTTGAAGAGTGTTTCGATGTCGTGTTTGCCCAATAGTTTTCCAATTATATCCGTGACCCTAGGGACAAACGGTAGATATGCGCGTGCAACCATCTGATCCTTTTTCGCTTTCTGAACCGTGGTGCCCTTCGGTCTCGGAGGCACTGTATCAATTCTATCTTAAGGTCACTTCCAGGTATTTCAGTTCCCTCTCCAGATGTTCTGGTTCACATATTCTCCGAGCCCGTTCCCTTAGAGTGGAGATAACTCCTCTCTTTTGGCTAGGATGGTGGTTCGATAGTGCGTGCAACCCCACAAAGTGTATCGAAAACTCACACACACGGATAGATACTCGCGTCAGCGAAACGTCAGGAAGAAATTCCAAGGCAAGTGTCTTATTCCAAAACATGGGATGTTCGCTATTGAGTATGACAGTGCTCCACGTAAGCGAAATTTTACCTCTTTCGTTTACTATATTGTGTAGCAATCCTGTGAATGATATCTGATTCAACTGGTCCATGCCGAATGACTGAATAAGTTATTTGTGTATAATTCAATGTTTATATCGAAGTATTTTTCGAAAAAGTAGCTTTTCTTTCATGTAATTCAATGTTCATATGGAAGAAGTTTCGATACGGCTTGTTCTACCAGTTTGTGTCTGAGAATTGCTTCTTTGCAAGATCTGCACATCTTGATGGAGAGTTTATTTTGAAGTTCATTGCTCTTTTCATCCCTTTGTAAAAGTAGAAAGCCTAAATTTTCCAAAATTTATTATCCTGATGTTTGAAATTGTTCAAAACTCCAACCAAACCATTGCAGTAATATGAGATTAGTGTCCTATGGTAACTTACCTTGCAGGGTCACACTTTGGTATGAAAGTCCAAGTGCCATTGTTACAATTCACAGGTGAAAGGCTAGCTAGAAACTCGTAAAGAGGGTCGCATACAACAGAAAGAGCCTCTCCATGTTGGACAACCGTCGATGTAATTGCAGTTTCGTTTTTACTGAGCAAAAAAATCCTGCCCTGGGTCACGTGGGGTACAACACATGGTGCTGAAAAAACACTCACTTTCAATATAATATTTATGTGGTTCAAAATGATAGCTAGAACAATTGTGAAAAAGAAACACAAGATAAAAATTTGGGAAAGGAAGGTTTTGGCTTTTCACTTCTCCATTTTGTACAAAAAAAGTGAGAATCATCCTAATCTTCCTATACAAGAAGTAGAAGGTCAAAACCGTTCTTCCTCAAAAATTATTCTCTCCTCAGTAAACTTTTGAGGATTTCAATTGTAGCCAAGTTATATCACACAGGGAAAAATAAAACCCAACTGATTTTGTAACCGCCTCGTTCACATGGCCTTTTTCTGGCTCTACTTCCTCCGTACCCAGTCTTTATTTGATTATATAGAATGTTCATTCTATCTACCACTTGATATCTCTCTTGTTGCTGTCCTCTCGAAAAGTTTGATCCAAACTAATAGTATGTAGTATTTATCTAATGGAACAATTCGTTCTCTCAAATATGTTCTAGAGATAGGACGATTCGGAAAACATTCATTGAAAATCCTTTCGGTCTCGTGAAAGTTACGCGTCGCAATTTTTCGCACCGTAAATAAAAATCGCTTCAATTTTTTCTTCCAGTGGACGAGAACTGACCATTTTAGAGATTGTTGACGTGGTACCTTTCTTCTAGTAACACCGAAAACTAAATGAGAATATTCTAGAATAACTTTTTTCGAGATCAATTGCCCTGACACCAAACCGATATTTTTGCACTCGACGCGCGTTTCGCCAACAAAGTTAGCATCCTCAGGGAAAGAAAATTGATACCTAGTCTAGTATGGTTACTCCTTATATACTAAAATTTGTTACCTGAGGTTGTATACCTGAAGTCCAATATGGAATTTCTCGGTAATTAACTACCTGCAAGTTCTTAGTAATTAACGGGTTGACGGAATTGTCATATGACAGATAAAAAGGGCTATTTCTAGAAATATCGATATTAATGTGTTTGTCTTCAGGAAATTATTAAATGTTCCGCCATTTTGTAGTAGATGAAGATATTGACTTCATATTCTAGGGTTGTGAAGTATTTGTCAGAAGCTTCAAAATAATTTGACCCAAGACTCCCCTTTCTATTTAATTTTTTTCCCAGATGGCGCCCTGTCGCCATCTTGAAAGTTTCATCTATCAATTTCACTTCAAAATAAAGTATTCATGCATTAATTTCAATATCAAAAATTTAAATTTTTTGAGTTGACCCGTTCAAAAAATAAAAGGGGGGGACATTAAAGAAATGCACTGTATATTGAGACAAACATAATTTCGCAACAGTTCATGACCATCTGAGGTATTTTATGGTACACTGGAGTTGAGTTTACATTTTTTTTGTCAAAAAGAGATATACTTCAAAATATTCCTAATAAAAACTGTAAATGACATTCCAGAAAAATGGGCATTTTGCCATTAATATCTATGTATTTCCCGAAGATTTTTTGTTTTGTTTTAAAAAATAAATCAGTTTTCAACCGAACCCGCAAAAATCATAAGTACGCCACAAGTGAACACGATACAACTTTATACAAAAGGATCCATTTCATACTAGTTGCAAGATTTTTGATGAATCATTTCCTTATATGGAGGAAATTAATAATTTTGAGTGTTTCAAAAAAGAATCGAGATCACTGTTGTTAGAAAAGTCGGTTTTCAACCTAAATGAGTCTTTTCGTATGTGAAAATGTTGTTCAATTGTTTCTTCTCAATATACTATCAAGTCTGCTGTGGCTGCTTTTCCAATGTATGTTTTAGTGTACTTTTTCTGTTAACATTGTATGTGAAAGTTTCTATTCAACAAAGGATCTAGTATCATTATTATACTACTCATCATCGCCTATAAAATAATCCTTGGGGGTATATATCCAATAATTGTAGTTACGTCAAAATAGGATAAGGATAACTATCCATTAATCATTCATGCTTATCCGACTTGCCAGTTTATCATCAACATGAATCGTTGATGTGCAGACTCACCTAAACATTTTGGAAGAGGATACCTCCATTTACCGTCAATCTGACAAACAGTGGAGGTGTTACCTTGAAGTAGCATTCCCTCGTGGCATCTGAAGATAATTGATGCTCCTAAACCCGTTCCAGCTTCTATATTTTCTAACCAACCGTTCCATAGGCGTCCAGGATGACCACAGTTGATTTCTAGAAATGATCACATTATTTCTAGTCATTCAATTATAATCATAATCAACAATAATCACAACGATAAGTGATATATAATGAGTTATTCTCCCAAGAAATATACGATTTTATTGCAGGGAGAAAAAAAATAATAAATCAAAAACTAACTACGACATTTTAAAGTACGAACAGAGCACCAGAAACAGAACTGAAACTCAAAAAAAAAAGATTCAATATGATTATCAGCATATATATAAATGCACTAATTACATAATATATCTAGACGAACAGTAAATATTTTTTCAAATCAATTCGGAATCTTTGTTTGATAATTTTTTTCAAGCATTCGGTAGCTCATTATGAAAATTAATACCTTCATAATGAATCAAATTTTGCCCAATATTTGTTTTCGTTTTCATCAGTTTTAGATTGTCTGAATATCTAGTCGAATCATCATGTTGATCACCACTGATTTTGAAAGTCACATTTGAATGTTTTAGCTTATTTTTGATCGAATGAATACATACAAAATTTGAATGTATGTAGGATGACAAATCTTATAGTTTTTTTGGTTTATACAAGTTGACTGTAAACTCCTTGTAGTTCAACTTGAATATATACCTCATGGTTCAGTTCTGAAGTTTTTTAATTGATTTTAATAAAGAATTTGTTGACATTTCCCATACTGATATTAGATATTGAATTTTGGAAAATACTATTGAAAAATAAATCAATTCGAGATATTTTAGTGGAACAGCATTTCTTATTTTGAGTACAAATCCAATTGAAGGAGCAATTTTTCCTCTTATTGATTCAATATGTTATGTATGTGATACATTTTCATCTAGAATAAGACCAAAAAATTCAGCATTAGGAGAGTATTAAATATTTACATTATAGAATTCAATTGGATTTTTTTAATCAATTGATACATACCTTTTTCGTACAACTGTCATTGAAAGTGACATTTTTGATGGTTGTCAAGAGTATTAAAAGTTGATGTTTACAAAGTAGCGTGTTGAAAATATTTTAAACAGTAGTGTAAAAAGTATTTTCAACACGATTTTTATACCAAATAGCACTAAGCAAAACATAACTATTCAATTCTCGAAAAAGTTTTATTATGAACAATAGATATAAATACATTAAATCCTGCTACATTAATTACATTGTTATAATTATCATTTATGAACATTAATATGGAAAGTACAATTAGAACAACTGCTGATATTAATACTTTGCGATGTTAAAGAGCCTTGTCATTTTTTGAACTAGCTGAGTTGACAATTTCATTGGCATTAACATTCAATTCTTGAAGCTAGCTGTTGGGATTATTCTTTCAGCGATAGTCTTTTCATATAAGAAATAGAGTGATCGATATAACCCTTAGTTACTGTTGTAGACTTCCATCCTCCGTGCTTCTCAATATCCGTTATATTTGCTCCTGATTCTGCTAGCAAAGAAGCAAAAGACCTTCTGAGGGCATTTTCCAAACGTGTTTATACCAACTAGGTTGGCACTGCACTGATAACAAAAGGACGTAATGCAACGTATTTATTAAAATAGTAAATGTTTTTTTCAACAATGCAAAAAGAACGACCTATTTTCGTTTTTGTATTTGGATTTTGAACAATCAATGATTTACGTATTCCAAAAACACTTTATTGTGAGATTTTCACTAAATTCACTAAATTTTTCACTAAATTTAGTGAAAATCTCACAATAAAGTGTTTTTGGAATACGTTAGTTATAGATTTTCATCAAGTATCGGCCGATTCCATCATATATCAATGATTTATGCATTGATTTAATGTCTTCTATTAATAAATGGCACAGCTCTTCACGCCGGCAGGCTCCATATATTCCAAAAATTGTAGCAACTTTCAAGCTATGAAAGTTTGTTTATAAAAATAGAAGTTCGCTGTCACATTTTTAACTATTAATTGACAAATTCACAGTTCGAAGTTTATAAAGTGATTTTTTGATACCATGCCCGACTTTACAAATGCTGAAATGACTGATATGGTTTTTGCATACCTACGGCTTGGCTGACGGAAATTCAAGCGTGGCCAGACGCATCTATCAGGAAATGTATCCCCACCGCTCAACTCCTTGTGCAGCGACATTTGTGAATCTTTTCCAGTGACTTTCCGAATCTGGAAGCTTTGAAACAAATTCTGCAGTAGGACGGCCACGGACTAAAAGAACTGTAGAACTGAAGGAGGCGGTTCTCGATGAAATTAGTGAATATCAAGAGACAAGTACAAGAAAAATTTGTCAACTGTAAACTGTCACATGACAGTTTACAGAATTTTGAAGGAACAACAATTAATCCTTATCATATTCAGCGTGTCCAGGCACTTACGCTACGTGGTTTCCAACCAGGTATCGAATTTGCTCAATAGCTTCAAAGAAAAGTCGAACAACATTCGCAAATTTTATCGAAAATCCTCTTCACAGATGAGGCTAATTTTTCAAGAAATGGTGTCATGAACTTCCATAACAACCACATCTGGCCGGAAGATAACCCACATGCGATAACGCAAATTGATTTCCAAGACAGATTCTCCTTTAATGTATAGGTAGGCATACATTACATTTGAATGGAGATGTTTACCTACATGTTTTGGAACACGAGCTACCCCAACTTATGGAAGATGTTCCCATTGGTCTCCGAAATCACACTTGGTTTATGCACGATGGAGTTCCTACTCATTTTAGTGTGATAGCAAGAAATTTTTTCAGACGTATTATATCCCCAACGATGGATAGAGAGAGGCACTGAGCATTGGCCCCGAGGTCACTGGACCTCAATCACGTCGATTTTTTCTTTTGGGGACACCTAAAATCACTAGTTTATGTTACCCCCATTGAAAACGAGGAAATGTTGAGGGATCGCATCATAGCTTGCTGCGAAACGATAAGAAACACTCCGGACATTTTTCAACGGGTGCGGAATTCTTTGTTGAGGAGAGCAGAAGCTTGTATTACTGTTGGGGGTCGTCACTTCAAACAGTTGTTGTAATACTTGTTTCGTTCAATTTTTATATGTTTATTTTCCTAATAAATAACATAGTACTTCTCCGAATTGTTTTTTTTTCACAAACTCCGAAATGTAGCACTTTCTAACTGAATAATTAAACCTGACAATTTTTTTTAATTTGGATTGAATAAGCAGTTCGATAATGCTCAGTTTAGAAGAAGTATGTACGTTTGAAATATGTATAACGTTTGATGAAAATAACTAAAATTGCAAAAACTTATGACAAAAACCTACCATGTTTTGAAAAATTTCAACAATCTGTATTTCACAAACGAATAATTCTTCGTTAAACATTTTATAGGAATAATTTGTTTATTTTGACGAGATCCACCACATACTTAGTTTTTGTAATATTCTCAGTAACTTCACTTAGCGCCCTAGGAGCTAAGTAATATCCATCTGTTTAAAAAATCTGTTTTTCCGTTAATCAGCTGCCGCCCTCATACGAACGACAACTCTCAGAAGTTGAAAAACTTGTGCGAGCTAAGGACTAACGAGGTCTTACCTTTTAACGTGTGATTCCTAACACGGTTGCAGAATCATTCCAGCTTCAACCAGATACATTCTTTCGAGAAAAATATCTGGTCGAGGCGGGAATCGAACACACGACCTTCCGATCGTGAGTCGGACGCACTACCACCGCGGCCAATTCCACAACATCGATATAGAAAATTGTAAATATCTCTAAAACGATCACCTCCAGCGTTGTTGAGGAGGTGTACCTTTTTTCTTGGAAAAGGTGTGGGAATTAGGTTTTTTCATGAAAAATATCAAAAGTTTACTGTCAAAAAGCAATTTGAAATAAATAATGACAGCGCACGCAGCTCCCTCTAGTTGTTACATGAAAATTAATACGAAATTATGATTTCCCACGTCAAAAGAACCCCGGGTACCGAATTTCGTGCAAATAACTTATTTTTTGCAAGAGTTATTTTCAAGAAGCGAACAAAAAAATTCAATTTCAACACCCCGTATCTCCGACACGAAGCATTTTCGGACACAATTTCATATAGACTTTTTTTCTTGAAATTGTCTCAGGATTACGTCACTTGAATATTTTAACGTACTTATGTTACACCGTGTATATGTTCAACTGAATAGTTCAACAAATAATAAGAATCGAGAGACCTTTTTTACTACTCACATGGAAAAGTGTAGAAGAGTTATTTCTGAACTCACGGAATTGATGAAACGAAAAAAAAACTTTTTTTAAATTTCAAAACGGACGTGTGAGTAGTACAATATTTGCCTTGTATGAAACAGCAGATGAATTGTGGATCTTCACCAAAGATCCTCCAATGCAATCCATATTTTCGGAAAACTAAAGTACATATAATCGATACGTAAATGCAGATAAGTAGGTGGAGAGAATATTGGCATTTGAACTAAAATCGAAGTATTTCCAATCAGAAAAAGAGGAAAAAAAGGATACAATATTTGGACACTAGGATCTAACTGTCCATTAGGTTTCTCCAGATTTTTCAAAAAACAGCTTTGTGGAAGAGCAAAGATATGGAAAAGAAAAATAGATTGTTGACCAAGCAACCATTTGGGTATGAAAAAAAATTCATGAGCTCTACAATAGTTCAAGAATGCGTTTTCTAGGCTTTCAAAGCCTGGTTATCTACGCTTTCAGAGCCAAGTTATCTACGCTTTCAAAGCCAAGTTTAACAAGCTTTCTGAAGCCTAGTGTATCCAGGCTACTGAAAAATGGGGTATGGCAGTAGAAAAATTAACAATGACGAAGGTCTCATTTCAATCAGCCCATTGTGTGGTATTTGTGAGTTGTGCTTGTTTTGGATTGAAAGAGGAGGAACTAGTTGATTCTTATCAAATCAGGAGATCATGCAGTGTGGGATAACGGAGTTGTATGATCTCTCAAAGAGATATAAAACGAGCAACCGAACAGATCTTTTTGGTCGAGATGTAACATCTTCTCTAGCATACTACATTCATACAAACTGCTAACCTTTGAGTG